CCTTTTTGTTTACACTGACGGCCTGTCAGTGGCCAAGACGTAGGCACACAGCCAGAACGGCAGATAGACAGAGACAGAGGGACAGTTGGGCAGACAGTTAGACAGTTGGACACGGCCAATGGACAGCAGTAGACAGTAGGCAGAAGACAGGCAGGCAGGACACGCGACACTTGACGTGCGGTCATCTTTACCCCTCTCTCTCCCTCTCTCTCTTTCTCTCTCTTTCTGTGGACACTGCAGAATGCGTTCAAGTATTTGCTAAGGCATTTTCCATTTGCAAATTTGTTAAACAAATTAACATTGCCAAGCATTTACAAAGAAAGAGAAGCCTCAACCAAGGTGGAAGCCACAGCAGGGAACAGCAGGAATCTGAACCTCAAACAAGGCCATATTGCTGGGAAATGCAATTAAAATGTTAATTGAATTATTATTACAGGACAAAACTGTGCGGCACAGTTAACAGAATTATGTTGTGCATTAAGTAGGACGCACCGTAATTAAAATGCAAATGTTAATGTAGACAAATAAATAGCATTATGTTAGAGCAACGTTTGCAGCTGTTAAAGCTGGAAAGTATAAATATAAGAAAACGTTGAATAAAAGGGCTCTGTTAGCTAACGCTCTGTTACATTACAGTCGATATAAGAGTAAACAAATTATGATTGCAAGCAGCTATCTGTGCTGTAAGAAGAGTACACTTAACATTAGATCATAAAATTAAATTTTGTTCTACCTTATTATGTAAAACAAGTGTAAACACATACTTTAGACCCTGCTAAATAGTTATTAAAAATACCCATTAAAGTTCTACTGTTATTATTCCAAACAAAAGCTGAGCCCAATTTTAGTTCCTCACGTATTTATAGCTCCATTAAGTGGGCTATTTTTAGAAACAGCACTTCAGACTCCAACTCTGCCATATACAGATGTATATATGTATATAGATGTCATGAAGTCCTTAAGGGTCTACTCGAAAGCTATTAAACGCTCAGCGAAGCGTATTAAACTTGGCCATTCCCTGTTAAGTAGCTGTGTGGCTGCGAAATGGATATATATGTATATATGTATGTGCATATGTATATGTATATGCATCGGAATCCATCCATCCATCCATTCAAACTGGCCTGACCCTGTTCTGGTGCACCACTAAAAAGAAACAAGATGTAGCTGGCAACCGGTTCTGAGAACTACAGGCATCCAGGCAGGCGCAGGCAGGCAGGCAGGCTAGCCCGCAGACAGCATCATCCAGCCGAGTGCAGCATGCAGCATGCAACGTGCAACTTGCAGTTGTTGCTCGCTTTCAGGTGCAAGCGGGCTATACAAAAAGCTGGCCAGCAGCTACTGCAAATGACATTCGGCTGCTGCATAATCTGGTTTTCTTTGATTTCCAAGGAAGCTTTCTATACCCTGTAGCTATAGAAAACCGACTTAACAAGGGTATAATGGACTGCTGGGTGAAGAGGAAAGTATATATAAGATCTTGCCATATCATAGCAGATCTATTGACAACAGAACTCTTTTGTGTTAGACTTGCTCAGCACTATTTACAGGGTATTCCTTAGTAAATTCGTCTATCTTGCTAATCTAGCCTAAATTATCATATTTAAGTTTTCACAAATAGATTTTGCCCTTATTTAACAATCACCATCTTTCCATTCAACTACAGGGTATCTCTTCGCTCTTCACTCTCAACTCGAGCTTCTCCTTTTGCATGCAATTCTTGTTCAGTTCGTGATTTGCATTCCGAAAAACACGATTTGAATTAAGGCCAATTGAATTTTTGGTTGACTGATGATTTTCACCTTCACAATTCACGGCCAATGACATGACCACGCCCACCCCAAACCACCAACGCCCCACCTGTAATGGCTGTGCTGCTCCAATTGGAAGGCTTTATTTATGTTGTTTTGTTATTATTTATGCGAATCGTTGCGATTAACAGCGAGCGAGCGAACGTGCTGTAAATCTGGATCGGGTTGCATTTACTGTTCAATTGATAAGCGCATTGGCTGCGATAAGACAGCTTCTCCTAATTGCCATCAATCCAATTACACACACACACACAGAGAGAAATAGAGCGACTTACAGTGAATCGTAAATATATTTGCTGCTATTAATAAACATGTTGTTTAATTTGTTGCTTTCAATTCAGATGCATGTCGTTTGTTCAGTGGGCCACGCACTTAAACCAATTGACATTTTGTGCACACACACACACACACATACATACACATACACATATGCACGCAAGTAAAATGCCCAACAAATATGTCAAATGATGTCATTTGTACGCTGTTAACGCTTTGAATAACACAATGTTTTATTCTAATTTGGAATTAATTTAGAGAATGGTCAAAATATAAAATTAATTACCTAATGCAAAGGAATTCCTAATGCTCTATGTAATAAAAAATAATAATATATGTGCACAAATTCCTCATAAAATATATGTTCAGCAATGTAACTTCTATATGTGTAAATGCATTTCTGACCGATAACATAATTATTTAAGACATCTGTTAACTAACAGAATTGCTTAAGAAATGCAGAGCTCTTCATCAACATAATTCCCTTAATATTTATACTATAATGCATTTAATTAGCAATGATTAAGCATGTTAACTGCAACTTAATAGGCCCATTACAAATCAAAAAATTTACTCAGATCCATTCATGTTAACTTCATGAAAAGTAACGTACTCATAACATTTGAATAATGGCTGGTTCGTCATCATGTCTGTTAGTCATGTTAGTCATGCTGTCTCAAAGGAATGATATGAAATGTTTTATATTTGTACAGCTATTCAGCTAGTCAGGCCAAGCAGGCACCAACAACAGGAAACATCCGGCGGGAAATGTTAAATGAAATGGCACATTAAGGATATGCCACAAGTAGCTGCGTCAGCTGAGCAGGAAACGGCCAGGCTTTCGTGCTTGTGTGTGGGACTCTTTGTGTGCGTGTGTGTGTGTGGCTGGCAACAGGTGTGCGTGTACTTTCGAACTAAATGTTAGCTGATAAAAACAAAATAACTACGGCTAAAAAAGAGCCAGCAACTGGCCATGTAATACGCTATCAACGGCGTCGACTCACCTGATAATACGAATCCGACATGTTTTTGTGTTGTAGTTGTTGCTGCTGCTGTTGTTACTAATGTTGTTGTTGTTGTTGTTGAATCACTCGTTAAGCGCTCTTGTTGTTTGCTGAATTTAGTATATCAGTTTTGTTGTTGCCCGCGTCAGAGTTGAGAGACACACACATATATATATAAGTATTAATACGCATATGCACGCACACACACAGACAGACGACCAACGCACGTCGCGTTCTTTCGTTTCGTTCGGTTTTTGTTTACTTTTGCTCCAAAAAAAAAAACTGTTGTCTATGTATGTAATATATATATTTGCCTGTTCACACTTCCAACTGTGCTTTTATAGCGAGCGAGCGCGCGCCCTCTCTCTCACACACACTCTCTTACTGGTATTTGCTATTGATATTGAATAGAACTTTCGTTGAGTTGTCGTTGGCGTTGTTGTTGTTATTATGGTAACATTGGAAATGCGACAACAAAGCAAGCACGCCAACAGGTGGCACAAACTAGCAAGAGCGAGATAGAGCAAACTAGCGAGTTAGCCTGACAATTGTTGCTCAAAACAAAAGCAAGCAGTGGGCGGTCTATTTTTTGCTAATATTATTCTGCATATTTCTGGCAATTTACACACAACATAACAATGATCAAGCGAACACTAAACTGCAGCTGAGGCTGCTGGGGAAGAGAGTGGAGTAGATGCACTTCCATAGAAATTAGCTTCAATTGAGCATTTTGTAGATGTAGATGCTATAAATAAGTAACAGTTAATGGGCAAGCGGGATGGGGCGATGCAGCGCCATAATCAACAAGCGAAGGAAGAAGAGCGGCAAGCGCAAGTGGCGGCAAAAAAAAGCTGTTCGCGCAGCTAAATGGAAATTTGCTGCTGCGCCCTGCTTGCTCCTTCTCCCTTGCACAAACATACACACACAAGCACACTGGAAGACAAGACAGATGGGCACAGTACCGGTTGCATTATAATGGCGTCTAAATAATGAGGCACCTTGAAATGAAAACACGGCCAAGATTGTTTAAACAATAATCGCAACGCACAAAAACAGCTTTGCACACACTCAAGCACACTCACACACAGAGCTGCATATGTGAGTACTTGGTATCTTTCGCATCTTCTTTATCTTATACAAAAATTTCACTCGTATTTGTACATTTTTTATAATTGTAATCTCGCTCTCGCTCACTCATACACGCACGCACACACACACATGCATACAAATTGCGCTGCTCAGATCAAATTCTTTGCCGTCTGCGCTTGTTGCTGTTGCTGCTGCTGCTGCGTTGTCGACATTTCGCTTCGTTTTCTTTGCTTGTTTTGTATGTTGAGTGCAAAAAAACATAATAACAAAACTAATATTAACCACGTACACTTTGTATTCAAATCATAACGCTTGTGTTAAGTGTTGTACTTGTAATTGTTGCATGCAATAAAATAGACACTTTGTTGAGTTTTTTTAAACGAAAAAATGTGAAATGGTTAAAAACAGAAAACGGCGACGACACGACGTTCGAGCATATAACCAGTGTGACCGCCAACACAGAACGTAAAAATTACCAGCAATTGCTTGTTTAAGAAATGACAAAAAATACCAACTAAAGCAGTTCGGTGATTTTAAATACCTTCAAATTATTTTTAAAATAGTACGGTATTCTTTGATAAGTTGTAGGATTAAAGTTATTTACAAAAATTTGTTTTAAACTTATTTTTGATTAGCTAATGACAGTTGACAGTTTATTTTGTTTTGCATTTTGCCGATAAACAGGGCTGTGTTTTTGAGTGCTCTACAGACGCTAGAGATGGCACTTTTTTAGCGATCGGCACGAAAGAAAGCTATGGCAATAAAGCTGACTAAAGATTGTATATGTATTATATCAAATGAAAGATTGCATTAAATATGTAAGGTTATTTATTTAATTTTTTGCTTAAACTGCTGGCTTCTTGGGCAACGAGCCGAATGCTGAAATAACGGTGCCCTTCGTGCCAGTCACGGTCGTAGTTAAGGCAGGTAACGTCGCCTTTGCGGCCGGCTGGTCCCACTTCGATTTGCTGCAGCAAACAAAAACAAAATTTAATTGGGGATTAATTGCATGGCAAGATCAGGGCAACACTTACCGCTTTTTGGCCTCCTCCTCTACTTTGCGAGCCAGCGCCGTCGCTTGCTCCACTTTGTCCATGTCCTTGCGATCCTTTTGCCGCTTGAGCATTTCAGTTTTTTGCACCGCCGACAACGCTTCGTAGTAGCTCTCCTCGCCCCACTGCAGCGGATCGTAGATTTCAGGCGGATAATTGGTGCCGAATTCATTGATGTCACAAAAACTGATTAACTTCTCATAAATGCTGGGATTACGAAACTCCTTGCGATCCTGTATAACACGATTCATATCCATATTCGTTTGCCTCATTTTCGTATACATTTTCGTGATCTTTGCCACCAGATCGGCTGGCGGCTGCCCCTTTGGCTCCGGCGGTAACTGAAATTTATATTTGGCATATTTCGGATCCTTCTCATAGCTCTCTGCCGTGCGATCGTCAGCGTTGTAAGTGTTGGAATCATCATCGTCATCCAGCTGCATGGGTGTCTCCGTTGCGCCTTCTACCTTGACAGTGCTTTTATCCTTGCCATTTTCATGCTGTTCGGTCTCCGGCTGCGAGCTGGCACTGTCACTGGAAGACTCTTCCTCACTGGAGGATTCCTGCGCACGATCTTCTTCCTCGTCAGAGATCAACGTGTCGTCCTGGTAGCTGACCAAGCGACGCACTTTCTTAGCGCGTTTCTTTTTCTTGTGTTTCTTCTCTGGTTCCGACTCCTGTTTAACTGGTGTTGCAGGCGTTGGTGTCGCCTGTTTTGGTATTATAACCTAGCAGAAATGAACATTTTATTTAATTTTAATACATTTTTGTTGATTAAAAACTTTTACCTGTGAAGCTGTTGAATTTTCAGAGTCTGGACTGGCATCGCCTTCGTTTTCAGAGTCCGTGTATTGTGCAGTCAAACTGGCCAATGCTGAATGACTCATTGTAGTTTACTTTGCCTTATTTTATTGCTGTTTAATAATATTTAATATTTTTCTTCAAATTTGTTTTCTTTTTCGATTTCACGACTTCATTGTAATTTGCCATTCACAGCGATGTGTCACAAAGCGAATCGTCTACTGTTTCTGCATTAAGTTGGCAGCACCTGTTTGAACAGCTGTAAAAGAGTGTACACGAGCTATGTGGAATTTGTTGTGCCTTTAGTTAATTCAATTATTACAATCAAAATCCATTTTTAGAAGAAAACATTGAAAGTATTATTAAGTAGTAAAGTTATATATTGTATATATATTATTAACGTAAATTGAGTACTGATATAAGCTATATTTATATATTAAAGAGCATACAACTTTCGCGCTACGTATATCAGAAATGTTACATCGTGTAAACGATATTTATTGTTGACGTTGCTGAATAGGAAAGAAAAGATGAGCGCAGCAACTGAGGAACAGGATCGCATACAAAAGCGCGTAAATAAGATACTGGAGACGCGTCTGGAGACAGACAAGGATACGCTAGATGCCCTAAATGGATTGTCCAGCTTTTTCACCGAAAACACTCTGCAAAATCGTCGCAATTTGCGTAGCCAAATCGAGCATCGTTCCGTCGGCATCAATCAGAATTTTCTGAAAGCGTTTCGAGAGGTCAAAGTTACGTTAGATGCCGTCTGCACGGATCTGGACACGATGGCCACATCGGTGCAAACCATGAAAACTGACCTGGAGACATCCAAGGCGCTGACCAAAGACCTCATCGAGCAGACCAACAAAATGCAAGAGGAACGCGAACGCCTCGAGGTGCATCAGCAAATCGCGCAGGCGTTCCTGGCGCGCTTTCAGCTCAGCGTGCCGGAGCATCAGTTGCTGTACGGCACGGCCAAGGATGCGCCCATTGTGCCTGAGTTCTTCAAGGTGCTGGATCGGGTGCAGTCCATCCACTCCGATTGCCGGCTGCTCATGCAGTGCGGCTATCAAACGGCTGCCCTGGACATCATGGAGGAGATGACGCTGCATCAGGAGGGCGCCCTGGAGCGCCTATATCGCTGGACCCAGAATCACTGCAGAAATTTGGAAAACAACGAAATCGGACCGCTGATCGTGGAGGCCATGAGCCGACTGCAGGACAGGCCCGTTCTCTTTAAATATGTCATCGATGAGTATGCGATCGCACGACGAGCTGTGCTCGTCCGCCAGTTCATTGAGGCGCTCACCGAGGGCGGCCACGGCGGCAATCCGAAGCCCATTGAGCTGCATGCCCACGACCCGAAGCGCTACATCGGCGACATGTTCGCCTGGCTGCATCAGAGCATACCCAACGAGAAGGAGAACCTGATGCTGCTCTTCAAGAAGTGCGACAAGCATGGCAAGAGATCAAAGTGCTTTTCTTCTGTTCCAGCATATTTTAATGTTTCCTCTCTTGCAGATATCTCAGAGCAGATGCAGAAGGCTTTGAGCTACATCGCCGATGGCGTCTGTCATCCGCTCAAGGTGCGCGTGGACACGATTCTGAGCTCCGAGCAGGACACCATCATACTCTTTACCATCTCCAATCTGTTGCGCTTCTATCAGCAGATCATGAAGCAGGTGGTGCAAGGCGGCAGCCTGGAACAGTGCCTCATCGAGCTGCAGCAGAGCAGCGAGCAGATCTATTTGAATGCTCTGGCGGCACAGGTGCGCAGCGTATTGCAGCGGCCAGCGGGTACGAGTTTGGCGCTAGAGCCACCACAGCGGGATCTGGTGCCGCCGGCAAGCGTTTCCCGGCTGCTCAACATACTGAAAGAGATCCTCTCGGTGGCCACCATGGTGGATGGCCGCCAGGCGGACATCACCAAGATCGTCACCTGTGTCATCGATCCGCTGCTGCAGTCGGTGCAGGAGAGCGCCGCCCACCTGCCCACCGTGGACATGGCCGTCTACCTGCTCAACTGTCTGTACCACATGCAGAGCACCTTGGCGGTCTTTGAGTACATGGATGAGCGCGTGGAGCGTTTGCAGGCGCAGTCGGACGCTCAGCTGGACACTCTGACCTCCGAGCAGGCCTCCTCGCTGGTGGCCAATCTCAATCTGGGTCCCATCTACACCATCCTGCAGAGCAACCAGACGAAAATCGAGACGAATCTGCTAAAGATTTTCATGTCCAAGATGGATGCATTCCTCGAGCTGCCCGACGTGCTGCTGCTGCCCCAGGTGCAGCTCATCATGTCCAGCGCCCATCGCAGCACCGTCCAGCGGCGCGCCTTCAATGTCATCGTGGCCATCTACAAGCAGATCTATGAGCGAGTCCACGATCCGGCGAATGGCTTCGAGCAGCCGGAGGCGCTGCTGCACCGGACGCCCGATCAGGTGGCTCGCATATTGACCAACTGATGAATGGCAGCCGAATGGCCTCAGCCTTCTGTTATTCGTATTTTTGTGTGTGTATTCCAATATATTGTATGACTACTGTAGTCCATTGTGGTTTACTGTGCCCATTGTGTGCCCACTTTGAGGCTTCCCTTTATTGTGCTTCGCTGACTGTGGCTACATTTGAAATGGAACTCGTGATTTGTGGTTGCTACTACAGTCTGTATTCGATTTGTGTGACGGCAGGGGACAGCTTGGGTCTGCTACAGTGAGCTCTAGCTAATACAAACTGAAGCTTAGTTTTATATGAAACACTTGAGTTGCTTTTGCTACTACAGTCTGTACTCGATTTGTGTGGCTCTAAAGATAACTTGGGGCTGCTACAGTGAGCTCTAGCTAATGTAAACTCAATTGTAGCTTGATATGTTGATTGAGCTGTCCCTTTGATTACTCGTACTTTGTCTACATGTCTTACTCATGCTTCACTGTAGTTTTGCTATATGTATTACATTGTATAACTATGGATATATGCAATATATGTGTAACAGCTCTTACTTCCTTGGCTGTACTTCTTAGCGAAGCTCCACAGTGAAGTGCATAACGTGGCTAGTTCGTCTTAGTGAACCTTTACTGTACCACTCTTAGAAAATGCAGCTGAATTGTATTACAATTATGTATATGACATACAACTTTAACTTTACATCAATTGTACACCACCACTGGTTCCTCCCAGCGAAGCTCTACTGTATCTTCAATTATAATTGTCGGCAAAGCAAGTGCCAAGCGTATTTAAGCTTCGTTCCGCCTCACCCACAGCGTTTTCTTTGATTTGCTTTTCCATTTGTTGTTATTCTAAATGCACAATAGGCTCTAGAAGCTGATATATATATAATATATTATATATATATGCACACATATAGGGTATATATATGCTATAATCGCCTGCTCTCCATCTTCTGTCAATTGTGCAAAACGCGCGCTTATCACAGCCGAGCCGCGCCGAGCCCTAGGCGAAGGCGACAGAAGAAAAGAAAATAATTCACAAAAGCTTTTGCTTAAAATTAGTTATAAATAAATAAATAAACAAATGCAATAATTTGTTGTTGTCCACATTTATCACGAGGCGAAATCTCTTGAGCGCGTCATTAGTTATAAAATATTTTGACATCGTTTTTATCGCGCGTTAACAATTAAACAATATTTTGTGGCTAAAAGCGCGTTCGCAGTGCCATTTCAGCTGGCCATAAACTGAGAACTCGGCGTCGGAAGTTTTTATCTACGAGACATAAAATTCCCAAATATACAGTGAAAACTGCCTATCGCGACGCAGCGGAAGCTGGGAACTAAACATATTCGAATCGTGTGTACATCAACTTATATTATTGCTAAAACTAAGCTACAAGTTTTTATAATTAAGTATACCGAAATGGTGTGTGTGTGCGTGTGTGTGTTTATGTGTGTTTGCTTTAGTTAATTGTGACTGTGGCACGCTGGAAGAGCTCCAAGGTGAGCGCCGCAAAGAAAGCGGGAAATGAATTATTTGCTGCCAATTGTTGATCGATGGCCGGCTTCAATGTCTGTGAATAGGGCGACTCCAGCAGAGCCAAGCAATTCGATTCATTCAGGCTAATGGACAGATAGTCATCCGGACTCTCGGCATACATGCTCGAAATGCTAATCAAATAGAGAATTACATATATAAGATCATGTAGTTTAGAAATATCTCTCTCGAGAGACCCACCGATAGTGACTGTTGGCGCCCACGCGATCGATGCGGTAGCCCAGCAGCATATAGCAAACATCGCGAAACTCTTTGCTGGCCGCCTTGAAGCACTCCTTCATCTTCTTCATTTTGCCGTTGGCCGAGTCCAGTTCGGCGCGCAGCTGATTGAATTCCTTGAAATTCAGTGTCATGCCGCCGCCGGCATTGGTGCTGCTGCAGGTCTCATTGAAGCGCGCCTGTGTCTGTTCCTGATCCTCCTCCAGCTTCTTGTTGCGACGCTTCAGACGCTCAATCTGCATATGGGAAATAACTGTAAGTTCTGGCTTAAGATAGTTAGATAGTTTTCGACTCACCTCTGCCTGCAGCTTTTCCACCACATTCTTGGTGGCCTCGTATGCCTGCGCGGCGGGATTATCGCTGATATGCAGCACCTTGTAGTTGACCATGTTGAAGTCGCCGCGCAGACAACGATGCTCCATCTCCAGCTCCAGTTCGTCCTTGCGCCGTCTCAGACGCTCGTTCTCCATGCGCAGCGCGTCCAGCTCTCGCTTCACGCCATCGTAGCCGCTCTCACTGATGGGCGGATCATTGAGGGACTCCTGCTGTCGCATCGATTGCATTTCCCGCTCGAGCGTTGAGCACATCTCCTTGTAACCGCTTAGGGTGCGCTCCAGCACCTCGACACGATAGCGCACCTGCACATCGTTGGTCATCTCGGCGGTGCTCGCATTCGTCATATTGAGATCTTTGTCGAAATTGTCGAGCAGCTGCTTATAGAAATCGCGCTCCTTGCACACAATCAACAGCTTGCGCTGCAGTCGCTCGCGCAGGCTCTTGTGGCGCTTGAGCACCACATTCATTTCGTCAATGTTCTTCAGGTAGACGGCGCACTTCTGCTCCAGCTCGCGCACCGATGTCTGCAGCTGTTTGGTGTCCAGGGCGGCGGTGCTCTTCTCTGCGGTGCGCACAATGTCGTCCTGGAGCAACTGCTCGATGCGGGTGCGCAGCGCCATGGGACTGACGAGCGTATTGGCCAGACAGTGATCCTGGGCAATTTTCACCCACTCCTTCAGCTCCTGCTCCACATGCGTCAGCTTCACCTGCAGTGCAGCTGCCTCGGCACGAGCGCCCTCCTCCCGATCCAGGCGCGTCTTGTAGTCGTGCACCTGTTCCTCCAGCAACAATTTGTCCCCAATCAACGAATTCAAGTGCTTGTTGTGCGCACGCAGGCGCTCCAGCTCGGTTTGCAGCTCTGGCACACTGAGCAAGCGGGCCTGCGATGTCTTGGTCACCTCTTTCCAGTCGGCATAGGATTGAATTTCGTATTCCAGCTCCTTGATGCGCGCATTTGCTGTTGTCAAAGTCTGTTGCTGCATTTCGTAGTCCAGCTGCAGCTTCTCGTAGTTGGCTGCGGTGTCTTTATATTCATCATGACGCTCTTTGATGCTATCGAGCTCCTCCTGAGTTACTCGCAGCTGCAGCTCGGCCCGCTCGCACATTCTCTTGTATTCGCTCAGCTCATTGTTGATGCAGTGCTGCACTTCCCGTGCATCCTCCTCCATTTGCGCCCTCTCCTGCTCCACACGACTGAGCGCCGTCTCGTATTTGAGTTTCTGTTGGGCTGCTTCGGCGACCAAACGATTCGCCTCCTGCCGAGCGCTGTGCTCTCTCTTTCGTACCACCTGCAGCTGCTTCTCCAGCTCGATGACCTTGTTGCTCGTGTAGTCGCATTGCTCTTTGAGTGCTTGCGCCTTGCTTTCGGCCAAAGCCAGCTCGGCTCGATGCTCCTTCGCCTGCTGTGCCAGTTGATCTTGCAGTTGATTTATTATCGCCTTCGACTCGATGAGTTCGGCGCGCAGTTTGCGTGTCTGCCAAGGGCCCACGGGATCCGTAAAGGAATTATTCAGCGATGTATTACTGGCATTGAGGCTGGCATTCGCTGAACTGGTGTCCAGGCTATCGATGCGTCGTTTCTTTGGCACTTTTGTAGACGAGACATTCATTTACTTTACTTTCAATATATTTTTCGCTCTTCTTCTTACCTGTGACAGAGTCTTCGGTAAAAGACATGGAGAGCCGGTCGAAGCTGAGCTTCTTGGGCGCAGAGTGTGTAATACTATCATTGAAGCGTGCCATTATATTGTCTAAGCTACTTCGTATTTCTTCCATTTTTACTATTTATTTAATTTTTTATAAATAATTTTCAAGCTCGCTGTGTGTATAAAAATTTTGTTGCTGAAAGCAGTATTAGCTGTGGCGGCAGACCGATATACACTCGATATATGACCGCTTCAATCAATAACTGCAAACGGTACTGCCAGCAGATTTTAGTATAGGAAAATGCTGAAAGTAAAGCAAGTTGGCAGCACCACTATCAGTCCATGGCGCTAAATTTAAAAAACAATAATGTGCATAAATATATTAGCTTTGATATATTATTTCACTTTCGTGTGAACAACCATTATGAGTAATTGCATCATTAGTTTTATGTATAACGAAACATTTCAATCATTTTAAATAAGCTAGCACAAAAATAAAGTGATAAAATTTGCGCCTATGATTTATTTGAGTTAGCCTCCCACTCCGTGCTGCGTGTGTGTGAGTGAGTGAGGCGGAGTGTGTACGTATGTATGCCTCTGTTAGCCCATGAAAAATGAGCGCATTAAATTTTATGATATTGTTTGGGCCTGTCATCAACTTTGGTCCAGAGCACACACACTGTACTCACTCTCTGTCGTACACATATACACACGCACACGCCGCCATACGTACGGACGACAAACAAGTGGCAAAGTTCAAAGTCAAACAATAACACTTTTCATAAACAAAAAACCCAGCACACATACACGCACCGATATATGTAAATATGTATGTATGTATGTGCATGTAACTGTATATGTGCTCAGCTCATATGAATTTGCTCAAATTTCTTTCTTTTACAGTTACCTGCGCCCATGCTCTAAAGTCGACTACAACAAAAATTTTCATATTGAAAGTTGGCCAAAGCGAAAAAGAAGAAACAAAAACAAAAAATAAAACGAAATTGACCTGTACCAAACAGGGATGCCAGTTTAGCCAGGCTTCAGGCTAGATAAGACTAAAGAACAGAAAAATGGCTGTATATGCCATCTAATAATTATAAATATTGTTTTACATAAGCTATTTAGCATATAAGCATTTAGCCTTATCGATTATACATATATGTATGTATATTCGATTTAACTATGTGTGCTTGTTTGCCTCTTCGGCATGTCTCTTCGTAGGTATATACATATGTACATACCTGTCTCTCTGACCGTTTCGCTGTCTATCTCACAATGTGGCTCTCCGTATGTCTCTCTGCCTGTCTACCTATGTATGTAACTGCAGAAGATCATACAG